TGGAGATCTCCAAGGAGCTAGAAGCTGAAAGAGACAAGGACGCAAGGACCTTCTCCCAAATTAGATAGAGTGGGAAAGTCTTCCCCTAGCGCCAGTATCTGCATCCAGAGTTCAAGCCTTTTAAACTGTGAGATAATAAATTTGTTAGTTAAAGCCATCAAACTGTGTTACTTCTATTCTAACAGCACTGGATAACTGAGACAGAACAGACCAGGCAGAGTGACATCAATTAGGAATCTGTTACAAGAATCCAAGTAAAGGAAGATGAAAACTTAAACTAAGTGATGTCGGTGGAACTAAAGAGTGATTCCGACACCAAGGAGACAAAATCTACAGAACCTAATGATTTGTTAGTGATTTACTGTAATGATTTAATATTGATAGGTGGTGAAGGACAAGAGTTTTAACAAGATGAATGGTGAGATGAGGAGTCCAATCCCAGATATGTTGTGTTTGAGGGCCTGAGAGATGTCTTGGAGGTGACCGCTATCAAGCAACATTTAAATGCCTGGGAAGAACTGAGAGAGACTCTAATCTGGAGTCATCAGCAGCAAGACAGCAACTGAAGCCAGGGGTATAAATGAGATCACCCAGTAAGTGTGTGAAGTGGGAAGAAGATCTAGTACAGAATGCAGACAAAGACCAACACTTGAGGTCTGAGGTGAGAAGGTGGAACTGTCAGGTTTAAGAGACCAGGAAAGAACTACTTGAGGCGACAGGTGAACAAGGTTGCGCATCACACCACAGAACCAAGGAGTGACTGTTCTACAGGAAGCATCAGTGAAGATGAGAACTGAAAAGTGTTCCTGGATTTTGGAAACTGGAAGGCATTCACTGGTTGTTTTAGTGAGAGCATCTTCAGGGGAAGGATGTGGGGTGGAAGCCAGTTTGGAGTGTATAGAGAACTGAATGTTGGTTGAGACAAGAAAATGAACCCCAGAATGTCAGCAACTCTTCCAAGAAACTGAGTTGTAAACGGAGAAACAGAAGGTAGTACCTTGGAGAAAACATGGGGCTGAGGGAAGACGTGTGATTTTGTTTTTAGATAAAAGAACTAAGTACATTTCTATATCGAAATGATCCAGTCTAGAAGGAACAGTTACAGACCGAGGAGACAGAGATATTAATTAAGAGATGGTTTTTGCAATGAGTGGAGGGGGTGGGATCACATTGGAGAGAGAGGGTTGGCACATCTTCCATAACAAGAAGGGAAAAGATGGCAGATGCCTATGGAGGTGCAGTTATTCCTGGGGAGGCTGAGGTAGCTGCTGCCTGATGGCCTCCAGCTGCTGTGCTGTAGAGGCAAGGTCAACTCAGGCAGGGCCTGAGGCCTGAGGGGAACAGAGCTCTGTAAGAACTGTGGAGAATGGGAGCAAGAGCTGGCCTGGCTGAGGGTGGAGACGTGATGCAAACACAGTGGCGCCAGTCTACTTGGGTGTGCCCTTCTGCAACCTCAGTGGCTTGGGTGGTGGCCGAATTCAGGTAGAGCTGGGGTCTGGCCAGGCAGGTATAGCAGAAGTACAACAGGGCAAAGGCATGTAGGATATTGGTGGGATAGTCATTCACAGGATGGGTCATGGAATCTAAACTGAAACATGAGTGGAGAAAACAAAATGACCAATGGACGGGGAGGGAGTTGAAGGGAAAAAAAAAAGTGGGTAAATTTGAATCAAGAAAAACTTAGGGTTACAGAAAAAGATGGACGTGTATGGCAGCAAAGGATACTGGGCTTACTGGGGTTGAAGAAAGGGCAGTGAAGCATGTCAGGGAACCAGATAGTCTCTGCCAAATTAAACCACTTGCTTGCATACAGGCCGGATTCAGAAAAATGGGAAGATACACAAAGGAGAGCTTTGGAATAGAAGGAATTGAATAATCACACTTCTTTGTGCTTAAGATCACCAGCTGCCCTCAGATCTTGGTGACCCCAAGTGTGTCAGAGTAGAACTGTGCACCATAGGGTTTTCAATGGCTGGATTTTTGGGAAGTAGATCACCAGGTCTTTCGACCAAGACTTGAACCTCTAACCTTTCAGTTAGCAGCCAAGCACATTAACTGTTCACACCACCCAGGCCTCCTTTTTTGGATTAGGTAAGGCATCACACAAAGAATGCAGAATTTGAAGATATTTTCAGAAACCTTTTCTTTGAAACCTCACTAAAGAGGCTTCATTTCTATCATGAATGACTGAAGAGAAAAGAGACAAGCTCAGCTAGAAGAAGCCAGAAATTACTAAATGCAAGCAAGCTAAAGTTTCATTTGGGATACAGCTTTGGATTCTGATCATACCAGTCATGAACTTAACAAGTGATATAATGTTTACATATATTGTAAAAACAACTAACTTTCACTGAGTGCTTCCTATACCAAGGAACCCTGCTGGAGCAGTGGGTTAAGCACTGGGCTGCTGTTAAGGTTCGAACCCATCAGCAGCTCCACAGCAGACTACTGATGCTGCTCCTGTAAAGATGCATAGCCATGAAAGCCTGACAGGGCTGCAATGAGTTGCAGCTGACTTGCTGGCAGTGGACTTGGTTTGGGCTTTCCCCCCTATATATCAAGCAAGAACTTTACACATTCTATTTATACAATCCTTTCTGAGGTAGGTACTTCTCCTATCCCTATTTTCATTATGAAACCTAGAGAAGTTACTTAAATGGCAAGCTTGGTCTCATAATTTTTCAGATAAGGATGAGGTATGAGCCATAAAAATAATGATACATTTCATAGAAAATTAAGACTCTAAATTCTAGATTTAAGTTGGAAGTTGTCAACGACTTCATTCTTGTTGGATCAACTATCAACACTCATGGAAGCAGCAGTCAAGAAATCAAACAACGTATTGCATTACGCAAATCTGCTGCACAAGATCTTTTTAAAGTGTTGAAGAGCAAAGATGTCAGCTTGAAGACTAAGGTGCGCCTGACCCAAACCATGGTATTTTCAATAACCTCATATGCATGTGAAAGCTGGAGAGTGAATAAGGAAGACCATATAAGAATTGATGCTTTTGCGTTATGGTGTTGGAGGAGAATATTGAAAGTGCCATGGGCTGCCAAAAGAACCAAGAGATCTGTGTTGGAAGAAGGGCAGCCAGAGTGCTCCTTGGAGGCTAGGATGGCCAAACTTCGTCTCTCATACTTGGGGCATATTGTCAGGAGGGACCATTCACTGGAGAAGGGTATCATGTTTGGTAAGGTAGAGGGTCAGAGAAAAAGAGGAAGACCCCCAATGAGATGGACTCAAGCATGGCCCAGGATCAGGCAGTGTTTCGTTCTGCTGTGCATAAGGTCGCTATGAGTCAGTATCGACTCAATGGCACCTAACAACAACAACAACAACAAATTCTAGGTAATAACTTTGATTACAAGAAGACATCAATTAGAGAATTGTTTTTTCAAAAATCTCAATACCAACCTATAGTTCTCTGAATTAGCATGCACTCCTTTTCCTTTGTGGAAAAATGGCTTCTGCTTGAAATGCCTAAGTCAAAGCAGTATTTATTCTTCCCCACATCAAACAGAGTGCAGTTAAATACCGTCCTCCTCTCTCCCAGGTTCAGGCTGTTTTCAGCCAGCCACACAGCCCCTTCCCCAGGGCGTCTGGGGGCCTCCTTCAAGACCGCAACCATTCCTTGGACATAGATGCAAGGCGGAGGCACCACCGTCACTTCTACCACAGACTCACATGTCAGTTCTGGCACCATCACCAGTTTGTATCCGAACTTCTGGGCCAAGTCAATGGGTCCTATTGAGGTAATGACTGAGTCTCGGCCAAGCAGCTTCAGCACCACAGTGACAAAGGCTTCTGGCCCCACGGATGCACAGCTAAACTCAACCCACTGGCCTTGACAGAGTTCAGTCTGTTTGCTGGTTCTTATTTCCAGGGGCTGTACCTGACTTGTTCTTGCCTCAGGCAGACTGTTGGTGAAGATGACATCCACCAAAATGTCAGGCTTGTCCACAGGGAATGGGCACAGTGGTTGATGGGTAAAAAGGCCCACTTGAAAGGTGCTTTCTGCTGCACCGGAAGTCCTGTTTAAGTCAATGTGAAAGACAGGCCACTCCACCTTCAGAAAGGCACTTTTCTCCCACCAAGGGAGTGCAGTGCTGTTGTCCGCTGCATGCGAAGTCATCATGAACCAGTAGTCACCAGCCTCCTTGAAGTAGAAGCATTCGAACTCGAGTGTTCCCTGAGACTGGTTGGTCAGGAGGTATTTGGTGGTAATAGTCTGGTTGGTGTTGGCCTCTAACAGCAAGACAGATATATTCTTCAGTGTCCCATTAGCACCATCAAAATACTGGAAATGCACAGACACTGTGTTATTGCTTAGTGCTACATGGCCTGGCTCTCCCAAGAGCAGATACTCAGCTTCTCCAAGAACTGAAACGAAATGGTCAGAATTGTTTTTTAAAAAGAGTAACAGAGGAACACAATTGGTAACATTAAGGAGACTGGATGGCACAGGTAGTTTGCCATCAGTTACTAACCTAAACATTGGCAGTTCAAACCTACCCAGCAGCTCCATGGAAGAAAAACCTGGCAATCTGCTTCCATAAAGATTACAGCCAAGAAACCCTATGGAGCAGTTCTCCTCAGTAACACATGGGGGCGCCATGAGGTGGAGGTGGACTCTATTGCAGCTAACAAAAAACAACACTGGTGACATTGACAAACACAGCATTCTACACACAAGAGAAGTTTGAACTAAGCCAAGGATGATGCAGAGTGCAGATTCTGGGAGGTTGGCACTACATTCTTTTCATCCAAGAGAGGCTATATCATTCATCTTCATTTTTCATTGTTAATGTTTAAAATAATTAATTAGTTATAAATACTCTGAGTTCACAACATTCAATGAAGTTATTCAAAATTTATAAAACAAGCATAACAGTTGACAGTTATTACTTGTTGGGTGTCCAACACTTCATATTTCTCATTTTAATTATATTCTAGTATTTGGGGAACATGGATAGCCAGTGAAGCAAGGGAAGGCTTGATATGAAGCCAAAAATTGCTCTACACCACTTAAAATGAAAGGCCCTAAATTTACTTCCAAGTTATTATTTTCTGATGTTTAAGACAAGTACTTGGGGATTTGTACTAGTGGAGGAAACCATGCCCATTGCTCTGTATGAGGCAGTAATTTTTAGATGATGAAGCAATATGCCAACACTTTGTTCTGCATGGATCAAAGATAGAATGGTAACTCTTATAGAGTGAGTGTTTATGAAATCATCTTGTCCTTGGCAATCTTAATAGCATTTCCATAAGTGGTATTTGCCTTTATAGGATCAATGAATACGATCCTGAGTATCATTCAGTTGGGTTGAAGTCTATCTTTTTAAAAGAGACCCATCAGAGCAGCTAAGTGAAGAGTGGCAAGAACATAGACACACAATAATCCTTGGTTCTATGAGTATTTTGAACCCTATCTAAGTATCAAAGGACAAAGAATTTAGCAGTGTACCAATCAGCTAGCCCATGACTAGGGTCAGATACAGTTCTAGATTTAGGCAGCTACAGTACCCTTTTGGTTTAAGAAAAAGCATGTATATGTGCATGAAATATAAGAGGACTTTAAAAATTTCATGGAAAATGGAATTAAAAGACAATGAATTTTTCCATGAACTTTCTGAAGTCCCCTTGTGTATACATGCATGTATGGCATCAAATTTTATGTACATATCTCCAAAGAGGCTCAGTATGTCCTTTGTTTGGACTGCTAGTCTTGAAATATATCCTTGCATATATTCAATCAATAATTATTAGAATCTGTACATACATATGCACACATTGGCACATAGAGATTTTTTTTTTAGCTCAGGACTTCACTCATTTTTCATTTAAAACGAGTTGAAATGAAATATATAAAACTTAGATCTAAATCTTGATTGCCACTTTAGGCAAAACAGAAGTTGAGAAGTATTCCCTTTTTGATGGACACTCTTCAAGGTTGAGGGAGGTGTATAAATTATGCAGCTTGTGTGCAAATTCAAAAAAGACCTGATACCCCTTTTGTGAACTGGCAGCTAAGGAGAGTGCAGTCAAATGAAGGAATTAAGACTGAAAACAATGGTCTTACTAATAATTTGAATGTGATAGGGACAGACATGAAGGCACTGATGCATTTTAAGATTAAGATGCACATACCACATAGTAAACTAATGAAAAAGTATTCTGAATGACAGGATTGTCTATGAGACATACCAGATGCTGATTTGATAGGCAGTCAATCAATGAAAGAGACTCGCGCCCAGTTCCAAACAGCAAACACAACTGATGAATTCCAGCTGCAGCTAATACTATGGGTATCTATGGGTACGAGAGAACCCACTACACTATTCCATAATTTTTGTTCCTAAAGATGAACACATGTTCTCATTTTTAAAACTAAAATTTGGTTCCACTACATCTTGACTACAAGAGTATCGTTGTTATAAGTGTTGAGTCAGTTCCAACTCATAGTGACCCTGTTTAGGGTTTCCAAGGAGCAGCTGGTGAGGTTGAACTGCCGACCTACAGTTCAAACCAACCCTGCGGTCCAGCGCATTAACCCACAGCACCATACCAGGACTCTTAAAAAAAAAAACAGAAAAACGTACTATAGTTTTCTTTATCCCCCCCCCACCCCTTATTCTTTTACTTTATTAAAGTGTATTTATATGATATATTTATATGGGAGTTCTGATGGTGTTTTAGGATAAGCACTAGATTGCTAACCACAGAGCTGGCAGTTCAAACCCACCTACTACTCCCCGAGAGAAAGATGAGACTTTCTGCTTCTCTAAAAGTTTACAGCCTTGGAAACCCTATACAGGGTTGCTCTGAGACAGAACCAACTCGAAGGCAGTGGGTCTGGGGTTTGGTGTCTCTATATAAAAGAAACAGACCTGTGAAAAGACCTTATCCATTAGAGACTTGTATAGTCTATGTACACCGAACTTTTATTTTTATATTCCAGTTAGACCATTTTCTTTCAACAACAATAAAACATCTTTGCACACTTCGGTTGGAAATTTTGGGTGCTTTTATTTCACATTGTGAAATCAAGGACATTTTATAAATTTTGCAGGAGGAAAAACATAGAGCAATCTGTCTTTAAGTAGGGATAGTGGTGTGCCCTGGAGTCTACTCCAACTCATAGAGGCCCTGGATACAGTTTCTGAGGCAGAAAACATTTATAGAAGGAACTCTGGTAGTGTAGTGGTTACAAGTTGGGCTGATAATCTCACAGTCAGCAGTTTGAAACTACCAGCGGTTCTGTAGGAGAAAGATGAGACTTTCTGCTTCCATAAAAATTTACAGCTTCAGAAACCCTACAAATTACCACCACCACCACCACCAAACTTTTATGGGAACAGAAAGTCCCATCTTTAATACAGGCCATTGAAAAAAAAATCTGAAGATGGCAGCTAGGGTGGGGGTGCAGTGAGGTTAACCGTTAGCAATACCACAGAATACCAGGCAAAGCAGATTCAGGGCAGAGCTCCAAAACTCAGAACCACATAGGTGGAATATTTTAAAAGTTTGAAGGCTTATAGCTAGTGGAACTTGTAGCAAAAGTAAAAAATCGTGTACTTTTGAAATTACCGGTCTCCGTGGCCCACAACTTGGGCGAGACCAAACGGCAAGACCAAGCAGGGGAGCAGACACACCACAGAAAAACACGCGGAAACCTGGGCGCAAAGATGGACAATACACTTTGTCAGTTTTGCTTTGTTCTGATTTTTTTTTTGGGGGGGTATCTGTTAATTGGCCTCCTCGCCCCCCACTGTGTGTGCACCTCCATTCTGGTGACTAAAGGGGGGTGACTGAGCGAGTGGACACACCCCACCTGCACCACTAGTGGGTTCTTCTGCCATGCATGAGATACTCTCAGCCCAAGAGCCTGTACCAACTCATAGAGACTTATGCACAGCAGAATGAAACACTGCCCCATCTGGAGTCAGCCTCACTATTGTTGCCATGCTTGAGTCAATCGATGGGGGTCTTCCTCTTTTTCTCTGATCCTCCACCCTACCAAACATGATATTCTTCTCCAACGACTGGACCCTCCTGACAGTATGTCCCAAGTATGAGACATGAAGTTTGGCCATCCTGGCCTCCAAGGAGCACTCTTGCTGCACTTCTTCCAACACGGATCTATTGGTTCTTTTGGCAGCCCATGGCACTTTCAATATTCTCTTCCAACACCATAACTCAAATTAATCAATTCTTCTACAGTCTTCCTTATTTACTACTGTCCAGCTTTCACATGCATATGAGATTATTGAAAATACCATGGCTTGGGTTAGATACACCTTAGTCTTCAGGCTGACATCTTTGCTCTTCAACACTTTAAAAAGATCTTGTGCAGCAGATTTGCCTAATGCGATACATTGTTTGATGTCTTGACTGCTGCTTTCGTGAGTGTTGAGAGTTGATCCAAGAAGAATGAAGTCCTTGACAACTTCAATCTTTTCTCCATTGATAAGAATGTTTATTGGTCCAGTGGTGAGGATTTTTGTTTTCTTTACATTGAGATGTAATCCATACTGAAGGCTGTGCTCTTTGATCTTCATCAGTAAATATTTTAAGTCCTCTTCACTTTCAGCAAGCAAGGTTGTATCATCTGCATATCGCAGGCTGTTAATGAATCTTCCTCCAATCCTGATGCCAAGTTTTTCTTCATATAACTCAGCTTCTCATATTATTTGCTCAGCATACAGGTTGAATAACTATGGTGAAATACAACCCTGTTGCACACCTTTCTTAATATGAAACCATTCAGTGTTTCCATGTTCTGTTCGAACAGCTGCCTCTTGGTCCATGTACAGAGTCCTCATGAGCACAATTAAGTGTTCTGGAATACTCATACTTTGCAATGTTGTCCATAGCTTGTCATGATCCACACAATCGAAAGCCTTTGCGTAGTCAATAAAGCAAAGGTAAGCATCTTTCTGATATTCTCTGCTTTCAGCAAAGATTCATCAGACATCAGCAATGATATCCCTGGTTTCACGGCCTCTTCTGAATCAGGCTTGAACCTCTGGAAGTTCTCTGTCAATTTATGCTTGCAGCCATTTCTGTATTACCTTTAGTAAAACTTTACTCACATGAAATATCAGAGATTGTCCCACATTCCGTTGGGTCACCTCTCTTTGGAATGGGCACAAACATGGATCTCTTCCAATCAATCAGCCAGATAGTCTTCTTCCAAATTTCCTGGCATAGATGAATGAGTGCCTCTTGTGCCACCTCACTTTCTTGAAAGATTTCAAATTTTTATTCCATCAATTCCTGGTGCCTTGTTTTTTGCCAATTCCTTCAATGCACTTTGGACTTCCTCCTTCAGTATTATTGGCTCTTGATCATATGCTACCTCTTGAATATCTAGTGTGGAGAGGCAAATTCTCAGCAGAGGGTCAAACCAGAATGAACCAGTTCCAAGCTCTGCTTAAAAAGAAATGAATCCCGGTTTGGTTTTCCTTTATACAGTATCTTCTTTAAAAACTTTTTCTTAAAAATGAAAAATGTCTCAAGAAGGTGATCTACTAGACAAAATGAATAGCACAAGTCCTGGTTCATTTAACCGGCTGCACCATTGGTAACACCTGAGTTGGGATTCTCTGTATCTTAGGTCACAGTTTCATCAGCAAATTTGAAAGTAATTCACATACCAGTAGCTGCTTAAATGTCTATATCTGGAAAAGCAGTGAATTGTACATCCTATTGGTGAACCTATTAGTTCAGAAGTTGCATCAAACTCTCTGATAAATGAATTGTTTTGTTTAAACAAACTCAAGAGAACCACCATTAGGTACCTACTATGTACTCAGACTTAAGGAGCTCTGGTAGCGTAGTGGTTATGAATCGGGCTGCGAACCACAAAGTAAGCAGTTCAAAACTACCAGTGGTTCTGAGGGAGAAAGGTGAGGCTTTCTGCTCCCATAAAGATTTACAGCCTCGGAAACCCTGTGCAGGGTTGCTATGAGTCGGAACCGAATCCATAGCACATAACAACAACAATGTTCTCAGACTTGAGTGCCCAGGTAGTGCAAATGGTTAAATCTTAGGTTGCCAACTAAAAGGTTGGTGGCTTGAGTCCATCCATAGGCACCTCAGAAGAAAGGCCTGGTGATCGCCTTTAAAAAAATCAACCACTGAAAACCCAAAGGAGTACAATTCTACTCTGACCCACGTGGGGTTGCCATGAGTTGGAGTTAAATTGACAGTAACTATGTATACAGATATTCAAGGTGCTTCACATTTTTTATTTTATTTTATCATAACAAGAACCCTGTGAAGTCAATATTATCACTAAGGTTGAAAAAAAAAGATTAAGAAATGTTATCTGTGGGTATACAACTGGCAAGGGATGAAATTCAGATTGGTTCCAAAACTCTCTTGTCAAGTGAAATCCTATGTAGAGCATTTGTGAATGTGGATGAAATTGAAATGTATAATACTGAATTACTGGGAAATCATTAAAAGAGAACTCAGATTAACATGCTTATCGCCAACTTGTTTTTTAGTACTTTTCCTAAAGAGTTAAGAGTATGTTTAAAATGAAATTTGAATTAAGTGTGCAGAATCACTGAAGAACCTTAAAAGAATCCAAGGTTGCAAGGATCCCAATTGAAGAGGAACTCACTTTAGACCCAATCCTGTCTCCTTCAAGAGAGGTCACTAATATTTAATAACCTCACACTCAGGTTTCTTTATGGCTCAAACATAAAATGATTGTGAGGATGGAGCAGGATTATGTGTTGGACATGACTCAATGGCATCTAACAACAATGACAAAGATACCTATAAAACCCAAACCAACCCACTGCCAACGAGTCTATGTGTAGTCTGTATAGCAACTGTGTAGTCCCCAGGTGTACAGTTGACTGCTAACCTACAGATGGGCCATTTGAACCCACCCGACGGTCCTATGGAGTCCTGGTGTGGCACTGTGGGTTAATGCACGAGACTACAAAGCTGTTTCAACTGCAAGGTCGGTGGTTCAAACTCACCAGCTGCTCCTCGGAAACGCTATACAGGGTTGCTACGGGTCAGAATCGACTCGATGGCACTTCACAACAACTACAGTCCTAAAGTTGGCCTGGTGATCTGCTTCTGTAAAGGTTACAGCCAAGAAAACTCTAAGGAGCAAATCTACTCTCTAGCACAAGGGGTCACCAAGGCTTGGAATGCACTAGATGAAAACTAACAACAAGGTGTGAAGTATGCTGACTGTACTCACCATAGTCACAGAGTACCACCAACAGTAGATTTGAAAAGTCTTTCAACAGTCCTTTCATTCTGATCAGCAAAAGCCCAGGTCTTTGATCTCCTCATGTCCTTTGTCACATCCAAGTAAGGAATCTTTCTCCAAAAACACCTAAAATTAGAATCTCAGGAAATCATGGCTCTGTTCAATGCTACTCACAAAAGACTAATAATTAAATGACTAAACCATTATAAAAATTTAAACCTCTCAGGATAAGCACTGGACTTAACCACAAGGTCGGAAGTTCAAGTCCACCAGTTTCTTCATTGTTCCTGCAAACTTTTACAACCTTGGAAACCCTATATAGGCTCTCTATGAGTCGGGACTGAGCTAACAGCACTTAGCAACAACAAGGAGCTCTGGTAGCGTAGTGCTTACGAATCGGACTGTGAACTTTAAGGTCAGCAGTTGGAAACTACCAGCCGCTCCGCGGGAGAGAGATGAGGCTTTCTGCTCCCATAAAGATTTACAGCCTCAGAAACCCTGTACAGGGTCACTATGGGTCGGAACCGACTCAACGGCAGGCACTTAACAACGACAACAAGGGAAACCAGGGAGGATACTAATTTTCCCTGTGGGATCTATCTGTAATCACACATGCTCCCTTCATTCCATTATAGTTCACTTGTTAAGAACATTCAAAAAAACCCTACAACAAGATTATCTTTGCACAACACTATGCTTCATAGCACATCCTTGTTGTTAAGTGCTGTCGAGTCAGTTCTGAATCATAGAGACTCAGTATAGGGTTTCCGAGGAGCAGCTGGTGGGCTTGAACCGCAGACCTAGTGGTCAGCAGTTAGGGCTTATCCTACAGTGCCACACCAGGAGTCCAGCACATCCTTAGTAGAGAGTTTGTTGCCCAATCTGGACAACATATTTTTCATATTATTTATGTTTGTTGGTTCACATTGATCCATTTACTAAATTCTTGCCAAGCTTTCATTGCACATTGTGCTGTACAGCCTCAAAGTCTCCCTGTCTTGCTTTCACAAATAGGCTTCTTACACTAAGCCTTCCCTGCAAAGTTGGTATATAATCTGGACTGCTTCATCGTATCATGCCTACATCAAAACCATCAAACCTTTAAAAAAGAAACAACCTGAACATTAAAATTAAATGTAAATTCCATGTGGTCCAGCTTACTTTAGGACAGTCTAAACAAAAGATAGGTAAGTACTAATTGCCATCTTTTGTCAGTCATCCAGTAGCTGTTGCTGCGGGTGTGATGATCCATGCAGCAACCTTCTCAGACCACCTACCAAGGCAGGAAAGACCTTGGCTGCCTGGGGTTCTGAGTGATTTGCAGTGCTAGGCACTTACTTATTTGACGTACAAAGTGTATGACTGTAGAACAAGATGCAGGACATTTAGGCCAGTTTTCTCATATTAGAGTTTAGTAGACTATGGGCTACCAAATACGTATCTTCTTAGTGTTTATATTTCCATTATCCAGAATTAATTTACTTGTAGTAAGCAAATATATTAGTCCCCAAATATATATACATATGTTACATCCCTTCAGATAAGAACAGATTAATTTCTGGAATTAAGAGGGCTAGTTGAAATAATCCAAATTCAACAAAAAGAAACTGGTGTTTCTCCATTAGCATTCTTTCAGTAAGAGCTGATTTAACAAAGGAAATAACTTACTTCCTCAGAGGGCAGTAGAGATTTGAAGTGCAATTATGCAGATTAGTGCCCAGCTGGACATCATAGGTGAGGCCCTGGCAGAAAGCACTGTTATATCTCTAGGGCATGGGCACTTAGAGCAATTACAACGTTTCCTTTTCAGTCACTGGTACTCAGTAGCCAAACTAAGCAAGTGATCCCTTAACTCCGAAAACCTGTATGGGCTTCTCCCAAATTGCTTGCTGCCTCCTAACAACCACCTTTTAGAGAAGCCCCTAATCTGATAACTGATTGGATAGTTATAATACATTTTCCTTCTGTATGAAAACGACCAGTAGAACACAGAATTGTGTAATAATCGATATTTATAGTACTTTATAAGCTGAATATGCAGTCCTAGTATAAGCACTGAACTACTAACCACAAGGACAAGGTCATAGGCTCAAACCCACCAGCCACTCCTTGGAAACTCTAGGCAGGGTCACTATGAGTTGGAACTGACACTTAACAACCTAGGCTGAATGGAAATGAAATTACAAAATAAACCAATTTACCACCTCTGAAAAAAATATGAAGTTTAAAACATTTTTTCTCAGACTTTCAAAAATAGGGGATTTTTACTAACACAACCACTGATACGGAAATTTAGCAGAGAACAATGAATTGCTGAGTAAATAGCTTTACTTTTTTTGAAGAAGGTAGTATAACTCTTTAGTGAATGTTTTTACCCCTATTTTAAGTTTTTAAAATAAGCATAAACCAGGACAAGTCCTGGTTTGTGCTTATTTTCTTCCTAATTGTTCCCGATACCACAACTGGACATTTATGTTTGACTTAAGAATCGTTTCAAGAAAACAGGAATATAGGTATATTTTGCACTCATTTAAAAACAGTTTTCTATAGCATTCATATGCATAAACATCATAGAATCCTAAATGTATCAGCAGAGATCATGGGAGAATGTTGTGAATAGTTCATCCCACGCAACACAGATGGCAGATTTATGCTGAAACTAAGTAATGTTTCTGTACGCCCCCCGCTAATGTCCATGGAACCAGAGAATGGTCAAAAAAGAGAAGCAATTAAAAAGAGGCAAAGTGCTTTTGCTCCTTCTGACAAACATGCACGTGCTCGTGTAGCTATAAATATTTATTGGGAGGAAAGACTTAACTCCCAAACAGCTTCTCTTTCTGTGTCCTGTCGAATTTGCTCACCCTAGGCCCAGGATTTGGGGCCGCATCTACTCATCCTTCCAAAGACCTGCAAATCTGCTTAAGCCCACTGATGTCCAGTCGGTTCCGAGGCTGCGAATCTTTACGCGGAGCAGCTAACCCCCGAAAATGCGAAGGGTTTCAAAAAGCTCATGGGAAAAATTCATGATTTTGTCGTGCCATTTTCCCACGAATCCGGTGCCGTTTGAAATAAATCCTTTCGCAAAGCATTTATTCATAGAAAACAAACATAATTCGAAACGCTTAGCCTGGAGAGACGGTTTTTCCAGCGTCCCAGCAATTCTCTCACCGCACCTTCCCGGAAAAAGGCGAGTCCAGATAAAGTAGGGATTGCTAGGCGCAGACGCGGGCTTTTAACGTTGGTCCCTGGGGCGGGACACCACCACCCTCCTCCCCGGGCCTCCAGGCCCCGCAGGCCTCCCCTTACCTCTCGGGATCGCGCGGAGGCCTCAGGGGCCGCGAGGGAACGCGGCGAGCATCTCCGGTCCCCAGCTGCGCGCCTGGGCTGCCGCCCAGTCCGGGCCCGCCCTCTGGGCAGTGCATCCTTTCCTGCCTGCCCCGCTGGACAGGAAACCCGCAGGAAAGCCAGAGACGCAGACCCTGCTCCAGCACACACACACACACACACACACACACACACACACACACACACTCGGGGCTTTCAAGAGAGAGCCAACAAACTCAATCTCTTCTCCACTGTCCTTTCTTCTAGGAGACCATAAATACTGGCATAATATGAGGGCTGTTCACTTGGTTTCCCAAATGTCATTAAGAGTTTCAAGGAAAAATAATTCAGGCAAAATGTATCTTCATTTGTCTTTACCTGGAGACAGATATGCTTATTTAATTAAATCAAAAAGAACTTCTTAGTTCTTGTTGAGTCTAGTGCAACTCCTGGTGAGCGTGTGTGGAAAACAGAACTGTTCCACAGGGTTTGCCTTGCCAAAGTCACCCCCGGTGGATGAACACTGTCAACCATTCGAATAGCACTTAACCAGTTGTGCCATCCAGGAACCCAACCCTCCCCTCCCCCAAAGAACTAAACGTTTTAAAACACGTATACTCTACGAGTGTTCAAGCTGTCTTACACGTGAAAAGATAGAGTTTCACTTGAATAGTTCCACTTGTTTTTGAACACACTGTGACAGTTTGCCATTTGCTTTTCTTTTACACAAAAGATGCCACGTAACGGACACACTATTGTTAAACTGTAAGGTAACTGCTGGATTGCTACTCTCAAGGTAGGGTCAGTATGTGTTGGAACTGACTGTACTACACTGGCACTCAACAACAACAACCTATTGGGATAATTAGAGCAGTGGTGGCCTCTGTGGAGAATACAATTGAAGAGGCAACAGGAAGGTTTCTGGGGTGGAAACCATTGATTGGAAGCCTGACTTATACGTGCTTTTATACATTTGCCAGAACTCATCCAACTGAACATTTGTGCGTTCCCCTGTAAATTTTACCTCAAATTTTAAAACCATTTTCAGGTTCTTGAATCAATCACTTCATCTTTGAAAACACTAACATAACTATTTTATGATTATCAGAGATACCAAATTTTCTAAAGTCAAATAATTATTATAAGGCACACTAACTTTAGTCCTGATGTCACTGGACGGCTAACTGCAAGATTGGCAGTTCAAACCCACCAGCCACTCCTCAGAAACCTTATACAGGGTCACTATGAGTCAGAACCGACTCAATGACAATAGCACAAATTAAATCTACCCAAAGTTCCATATAAGGCTTTGAGGTCATCATTCAATTTAAATACCAGTAGAACTTAATTATACTGGTATTTAAATTGAATAACCAGTAGAACTTGAGTCCTGGTGTGGCCCTATAGAATAAAGCACTGAACCACAGGGTCGGTTTGAACCACAAGGTCGGTGGTTCAAACTCACCAGCCTCTCCTTGGAAATCCTATGCAGGGTTGCTATGAGTCTGAACCAACTCGATGTCACTTAACAACAGAACTTAACTAAGGAGTCCTGGAGTGGCTCTGTGGGATAATGCACTGGACCACAAGGTGGATTGGAACTGCAAGGTCAGCCGTTTACCAGCTGCTCCTTGGAAACCTTACGCAGGGTCACTATGAGCCACAGCACTTACCAACAACAGAACTTGTTGGGAGTCCTAGTGTAGCACTGTAGGATAAGCATTGGACTGCTAACCGAAAAGTGGGTGTTTCAAACCCATCAGCTGCTCCTTGAAAACCTTATACAGGGTCACTATGAGTCAGT